TCTTACTCTTAGTCTACCAGATTTTGACCTGAATGCAGCTGCATCTATCATTGTGTGCTGTAGCCTTAAGATTTCCCTTCATTGGGAGTAAGAGGCCTGGACCACACCAGGAAAACAGCCCAGACTAAAAGTACACACAAGTATGTGGACAGGGTTGTCATCAATCCACATCTCAAAGAAAATATGACAGCCATATGAGGACATTTAAACACATTAAAACACAAGTTTATTGCGATTGAAGTCAAAAGAAAAATAATGCATAAGTGATGAGAAGAGATGGCCCTAAGCTAAACATGAAGGTCACCAATGGCAGCAGGAACCTCCCCATCAAGCCACCCATGTACCCACCACAGGCCATTTGCATCTCCCGTCCCTTCCCTCTCTGTTTCCGCCTACGCTTGGACCCATTAGGGCGATGAGGGAGAAACACGGACGCAGGGCGGAAGGGAAAGCACTCTGAGGACATCAACAGTGGAAGGAGCAGGAAAGGACTAGGAAATGACCAGAGGAGAGAGTTCCTCAGTGATGAAAATCGGAGCTGACAGGAGGAGTAGCACTGGGGGCTCCCTGCTCTGAACAGATCTCAACAGAAATGACTCTCACACACATGCACACTCCAATACTCACGTACACACACAGACCCCAAATACACACTCATACACATAATTTGGCAGATTTGCATATCTGCTGACACATGTACACTACATAAACACACATGCAGGCTCAATCACTCACATGACCACTGACATAACTGTACTCATATACATATACAAGCACAGAGGCTTCTGCAAGCTGCAGGAGGCACAAATGGATGCAGGCGCACGTGTGCGTTTGTTTAAGTTATATTTTGACACATTTAGCTGATGCACTAACAGTAGGAATGCAAGTAAGGATTCATCTTGCTATTTGTGGCAAGGATAAAAGTGATGTATATGTATTAAATGTGCGTGACACCAGGGTGCAGTGAGTTAGTAAGTGAGTTAAACAGGCAGGCAGAACTCCAGCTAGTCTATTATTAGAGCTGCGGCTGCTGCTCCCTGGTTGGGGCCCCTTGGGGCCAGGGCACCGGCACGTGGATTCCTGCTCTCTCCTCATCTCTCTGATCTCTATTCCTACCCATCTCTCTCTCTGATCTCTCACAAGCCTTTCCATTCAGGCACGCTCAGGCGATTCATAGAGGGAGCAAAGACAAGCTCCTTCAGCAACACAGGGAAAGAGAAGGAAGATGAGAAACGGAGGAGGAAGATGCGGAGAGAACAAAAGGAGAGAAAGAGCCAAATCTAAGGGAGACCCTGCTGTTGAGTACACAGCAGGCTTAGGTTAAATAGTGTCAACAACATTGTCCTTGTTAGTAAGTTGAGACTGCACATATAAACAAAAATGTCACGGCCGACAACTTTACCTAAAAGAGAGCTACCAGACACATTTACATTTGCTTTTTAGACTGATATTACATTTTCATGCGAATGTAAAAGCTTTAATTAATTCTATCTAGTATTATACATTCAATTACTAATGCGTTACATCAATCACCACTAAATTGTAGCGACACATATATTGAAATATATATTTTGTGTATATTTACTATAAACGGCCCCTTTAATGACTCTCCTACATATGACAATTTACCAGAAATGATCTGATATTCTGTGCAGGCTAAAACTTGTCCCTTCCTCTGCCCATTCATCTACACAGTTCCATGTCATCATCAGAACATTTCAAGACATGAATGGCTGCAGTTATGTGTTTACTGGAGTCTGAACCAAAACCACTTATCTGATTTGGCCATCCTGACTGTAAATGACTTCCAACTGGCTTGGTCCATTCATAGCTTTCCTCCCACACAGCAGGCAACGGCAGGAAAGGAGACACTAAGAGAGCTAAGGCAGCACGCTAAAGAAAAAAAATTACTACTGCTGAATTACGAGCAATAATTAATGTAGACTACATTTTTCAAAAACTTTTAGGGAATAAGTAAATCATTAAAAGCAACTATTTGCAGTTGTGGTTTTTTAAGAGCACAGCAATACCCGTTCAATAAAAACAGTATATAGAAACATCTTTCCATAGCTCAACTGTGCAAAGAACTCAAAAGACCTTTTAAGTCTCTGAAGCCTGGCCTGGCAAATGCTGTGTTGCGGGGAGTCTGACTGGGTGTCTTTTTTTTGTACTTGAGGTATTTGTCTAGGTTGTTGCTTTAGCTATTGTTGATGTTTGTTTTGTTGTTTATTGTTTATTTTCTCTTCTTATTTGTGAATTGGAGTTATGTTTTTGCTTAATTCAATGTTTGTGTGAGTGTTAAAAATCCAATAAAAAATAAATAAAAAAAGACCTTTACACGACTTGTATTTTAGTTTTCGAGTTTGGATAAAGTCACAGCCCTAAAAGGAAAATTATATGAACATTTATCAAATTCTATCCATATAAAAAATATAAAAATGCCCAAACTCACATTCATCTGCTTATGAATATACACGAACAAAGAAAAGTATATATTTAGTTGCATACTGAGGTTTTGGGCGAAATATATTACTTTGAATGATTTTGTGAACCCAAACGCATTTGATGCCCTGCGATTCTTTTTTACAACAGTAGGGGGCAGTAATTATTACCTTAACTTCTCTGGGATGCTGTGTAAAGAGAGACAGCTGCTGTACTCCTAGTCAGGGACCACACCAGCGAAATACACATCAGACTCTGGTGTAGTTTACAGCAACCATGAGCAAACTCATGATTTAGGTCTCTATTGTCTTTAACACAGCTGTGATTAAATAATTCACCACGCAGCTAAACCATCCTCACTTCTGAGAAAGCATGTTGTTGTCCTAATACTCATTAAAACATTAAGACCCACGTACATCAATCTCATGTTTCTACCAGTTTATCCAGGATTGGCATTTGTGGGCTAAGCGGATAGCAGTAATTCACATCCAGGATTTTACCTTGCAACATATTGTGAACTCAAGTTCAAGGCCACTACCCTGCCACCCCAGATGGTCCAAGCTCAGCTACAAACAAAGGTTGTTGAGTCAAAAAACACACAAAAGGGCACATGAAAAAGCTGGAGAAATAGGCTTGTAATGGAAAAGGGTAATATTTTCACCTTTTGCTCAGCTGTAGTTACATTTGGCAATATTGACTAAATTAAAACTTAGATAGGTCAAGAAAAATACATTTTAAAGTGAAAATAGATATACAAGGATTACACAAGGGCAAATGTCTAATAGGGACATTTAAACTTGACTCGTTAATTTCACTCTTACTGAACTGTAATGCAGCTTTCAAGATAGGGAAACCTTAATTTATGCTACATTCACATTTTACGATAACTAAATCCAAAATGTAAACACAGAATTGTAATTGTAATTGTGAATGTGCAGAATTAGGGGGCAGTCAATTTACTTTACTAGATTTTTCTATAACTCACTAGCACTTAGTCAGTTAGCCCCATGCTAACACATAACATTAACATTTTACTGTACGATTTATTTACCGCATTATATGCAATCAAGTCCTTAAAGAACAGTTTTTGAGTTTAATTTCATATGTGATGGATGTTAATTTCACATGTGAAATATGCGCATTGCTTTTGGAATAATGACTCATGATATCCAGTGTCTAGATCCTATGATTCAACTTTTTCCCATGGTCTAATATGAAAAAAGCAAACAAACATCGCAATAAATCGTAACATGGATTCGCAATACTTGCAGAATAAGAACCACTACGCATATCAAATCAGCAACCCAAGTATTGTGAAAGTAGCGTCCCAACCTTAGCATGATTAGAGTACCAGTGTGTTGTGATGCTGAAAAAAAAAAGCTTTTTTTTAAAGGATAAACACGAATTAAAGAGCACTGACAGACAGCAGAGTGTTGCTTTCTGCTGGCCACATCTCTGACCAGTGAATGGATTGTTGTTGTCCTTTGAGGCAGTTGTCAGTGCTGCAGCAGGATGGCAAAACTACAGACTGGTCTGCACTGCCACCTGGTGGTCAAGGGAACACCCCAAATAGACACAACCTTGAATCTGAAGATGTGTCCCATAAACAACAGGCACAAACTTTTCATTCCAGCCTGTAAAAAGCTGCGATGTATTTATTTAACATGGTGAGTAGCAGCGGGATATTTAACATTCCAAGCCTTTTTTTCTATTTTTTGCCGTTTGCACAAATTGCTTACTGTTAAATAACATATTGACCTTACCTATAACAATGGATCAAGGCCCCCAGATCAATAGAATATATAAGACAATAAATAAAAATACTGCTGTTTCATCCTGTATACTTCACATGGAACCATGAACCCTACTTGAAAACCTTTGTGGAGGCCGTTCACTGTCCTCTCAATCTCACGAGTTGCGACAGGACAGCTGCTTCTGAGGGCAGTGATTGGTTGGAGTCAATGTACAGCTGCAACGATTATTCGATTAGCTGTCAACTATTACATTATTTGTCACCTATTTTGATAATCGATTATTCACTTCAGGTCCTTTTTTTAAAAGAATAAAAGAAGAAATGAGGGCGTCACCTTGGGCTTTGGGAAACACTGATCAACCATTTTTCACAATTTTCTGGACCTATCAACTAATTGATTAATAGAGAAAATAAGATTAATAGATAATGAAAATAATCATTAATTGTAGCCATATTCTGTGGTGCTTAAACTTAGTTAATCTTTCAATTTTCATGTGAATTCTGAGTAAGTCTCAATGTGTGTCCTTCCGCCTTTTGACTGTGATATGTAACTGTACCTGTAAACAGTCCTGCAGATCGTTGTGTACCATCATTGTTGTATGGTCTCCAAGTTATCTGTCTTTGCACCACCAACCATTTGCTACCTCAAGACCTCCTTTTGCCATTGAGTCTTTTTAAATCAAGAAATTTTGAGTATTTTTTTAATTAAGTAATATGCTTACACATGCATACACTAAGTGTATGTAAACATACTAAGTGTGATTTAGGATGCAGCTTGCTTTCTTGTGTCTGTGAATTTACTTACTGTGGTGCTGTGAACAGCTTGGCCCAACTCTATGACATGTGGATTAGTGGACTGAGTGTCTGCCACTGTTGGACTGATCTGTGGAGACAAAGAAAAGTAATACATACAGTCCCCTGTTTCTGTTGTTGACTGAAGACATTTGGGTTCAAGATCAAATTATATGAGTATGAGACAAGAGTTCAGAATTTCAGCTTTTATTTCCTGGTATTCACATGTAGATGTGATAAACAACTTAGGAATATCACCGTTTGTATCAGACAACAGCATTCTTTGATGAGCAAAAGTAGAGGAACAACTAATCTTAAAGTAAATAACATTTAATATTTGGTGGTATAACCCTTGCTTGTAATAACTGCCTCAAGCCTGCGACCCATCGACATCAAACGGTTTCAAATGAATTCTTCATTTGTGATGCTATTCCAGGCTTTTACCGTAGCTTCTTTCAGTTCTTGTTTGTTTCGGGGTGTTTCTCCCTTCAGTCTCCTCTTAAGGAAGTGAAATGCAGCTCTACTGGGTTGAGGCCAGGTGGCTGACTTGGCCAGTCTGAAACCTTCCACTTTTTCCCCTGATGAAGTCCTTTGTTTTGTTGGCAGTGTGCTTTGGCTCATTGTCCTGCTGCATGATAAAATTCCTCCACATTAGTTTCAATGCATTTCTCCGTAAATTGGCAGACAAAATGTTTCTGTCCACTTCTGAATTCATTCTGCTGCGACCATCATCAGTTACATCATCAATAAATATTAATGAGCCTGTTCCAGAAGCAGCCATGCACGCCCGAGCCATGACATCACCTCCAGCATGCTTCATAGATGAGCTTGTATGCTTCGGATCATAAGCACTTCCTTTCTTTCTCCACACTTTGGTAGAGATTGATCTTGGTCTCATCAGTCCATAAGATTGTGTTGCAGAACTTTTGCGGCTCATCTCTGTACTTCCTAATCTTCCTGCTGATGAGTGGTTTGCATCTTGTGGTGTGGCCTCTATATTTCTGCTCTCTGAGTCTTCTTCCAGCAGTTGATTGTGATACCTTCACCCTGCACTGTGGAGGTTGCTGGTTATGTCACTTACTGATGTTTTGGGCATTTTCTTCACAGCTCTCACGATATATTTCTGTCATCAACTACTGTAGTTTTCCTTGGCCGACCTGTTGGACGTCTGTTGCTCAGTACACCAGTAGTTTCTTTCTTTTTCAGACCATTCCAAATTGTTGTGCTTGCTCTGCCCAATGTTTGTCCAATGGCTCTGGTCGATTTTCCTTCTTTGCTCAGCTTGACAAATGGCTTGCTTTTCTCCCCTAGACAGCTCTCTGGTCTTCATGTTGGTTTCTCCTCTTTAACAGGAAATGCAGTCTTTATAGGTTTGAACCAAGGATGAAAACTTGGACTAGTCACGCAGAGCTATTTAATGTTTGGACAATCGACCTAAAAGGCAACACCTGGGCAACAAGAACCATCTGTCAGTCACATGTTCCAATAGTTTTGCTCACTTGAAAAATGGGTTCAAACAAAGGGTGGTATGTCCTGAGTTGTAGCTGCTCCACTTTTAACCTTTACAACAGTGGTCAGCAATAGGCGGCCAGCGCCCCAGAACCAGCCCGCCAGCCATAATATCTGGCCCGAGGACAGATTGCTTTGATAGCAGAAAAATTTAAATTAAATAAATTGATAGCGGCTGGTGTTAAAACAGATCTCAGTCATAACAGCTACTCACATATTCACTTCCTCTTAACTGATTGTGCCTACTAAATAAAAGCAAGCGTTTATTGCAGCAATGCTTCATGTTGAGTTTATTGAGAGCTTTTACTTTGAAAAGTTCTGTAGGACATTCAAAAGAGTTTCTGGCTTGCATGACACACCTCTGAAAAAGCAGTCAGTAAATGTGCGATTGGATTCCCCTGAATTTCCTCAGAGAAATGAAAATAAGAGTCCTTTTGTTAATGAATGCATATCAAACGCAGGGACGCACACGCTGCAGCACATGCTTTATTGTGAGCATGTGCAAAAATGTCCTTACTATCTGTTTAACAAGGGAGAAAAAAAAAAAAACATCCGCTGTATGTTGGGATCGATCATACAACCTTCCCAACAGGAGTCCCGCTCCTACCGACTAAGCTAGACGTGCACATAGGCATTTAAGGTTTTGAAACAATTTGACTATGTTATGGCCCGCCATGTAACGGCTTTAAAAACATTTGGCCCGATGCCAGACTTATTTGACGACCCCTGCTTTACAACATATCCCTTGATTTCTCACCTGAATAATTTACTGAACACAGAGATGTTATGTGTGGGATGTCAACTATGGAGGTTGTTTCACTAGATATCACTTGTCTGTGCGTGAAAGGAATGTGAATGGTTTAAATGCTTGAGCACTGGTTACTATAATAAAACGAGTCTAATGGTTTGTAAGCCAGGGAACTACTATCTGGCCCTCTGAATACATGATGTTCAGTACCTAATGTGGTGAAAACTGATTTTTTTGTCATGCTGATTTCATGACATTATTTTTTGTTTGCTTGTATGATAGACGATGTTGACGGTGATGTGGCTTGTAAAAATACACCAATTAAGCTTGTATATTACTCATTTTAGAAAAGTGTAACTAGTACCTAATCATTCTAAACAGAACTCTACACAGCCTAACTTACTATACATAATTTGCATATAAAATTAGGTAAAATAGAACTGACCTGAATGGCTGTGGGCTGTGGGTGATGAAGGTGGGGTCCTCTGGGGTGGATATCAGTCAGGTGGGGTGGTGGATCGGGGGTGGACCTCCAGCTGTGTTGTTGCAGGATGTCCTGGTAGGATTTGGTGTCAAAGTTTGTCCGCCACATCAGCACCTAGAGGATCAAGAGATCAGCACGACAAGTTACTCAGATTGTTTACTATAGAAAGTAAAATAATACTTTGAAGTTACGTGCTATTGAGAGTATATGGAACACAGGGTCATTATGTATCATGAAACACCCACCTGCCCATCAGCTCCCCCCGAAGCAAAGAGATCTCCAGCCCTGGAAAAGGCTACAGTGAATACAGCGCCCTGAAAAACAAAGTAAACAATGTTAGCAAATAAGAAAACTTACCATGAAAAACACCATCAAGGATTAATACTGAGAAATAGAGGAAGTGGATGGAATACTGCTGCTCAGACTGCCTATACTGTCTGATGGTGTTTGATATCTGTTGGTGAACTGAGCTGTGCTATAGCATTACTTTATGTCCACGGAGGGTGTAGATGAGGCGCCCCTCCAGCAGGTCTAGGATCTTAACAGTGCTATCACTGGAGCCACTGATCAGGTAGTTGTTGGATGGGTGGAAGGAAAAACTGTTGATTCCTGCACTGTGGACTGCTCCAAAGGTTACAAAAATAAGCCACACACACAAAGCACATTAACAGCAATTCAAAGTAAGACAGGAATAATAAAGTAATAACATTATGTAAGCTTTAGTACCCTACTGAATAATGGGTAAGATAATATATATATATATATATATATATATATATATATATATATATATATATATATATATATATATATATATATATATATATATATATATATATATATATATGTCTGATATTTTGACATACCTTGATAATGCTGAATCAGCTTGTTGGTCCGTAGATCCCAGATTTTCAATGAACTGTCAGCTCCTGAGGATGCAATACAGGTGCCGCTTGAGTTGAAATCAACAAACGTTGCTGGTCTGGAATAACAAAAATCACTACATGGAGTCAGTGACCTGCAGCAGTTGAACAGTCTGGTAAGTAAATAATAAACAGCAAAACCAATGATGGGAGAAACAAAGCAATGACTATACTATATTGATTTAGTTTTTACATCAATTTTGTAAAGTCTTTCTTAAAAACTCTGATTTTTTTTTGGCCTTTCGTCTGAAATCAGAATCTCCATTCTCCACCTCCCTTAGCCAGGTTGTTTAGGACTTACCCTTCATAGTCAGTGAAACAGTTAATGCAGTGTTTGGTGGATGTGTCCCATAGCCGGACGGCACGGTCGTCTCCGCAGGAAACTATTAGCCGCCCATCTGGAGAAAACCTGCCATAAGGAAAAGACAAAACATGCTAGTTATACCAGGTAAGGAGAAAATAACTTTTCCAGCAATTCCCTGCTCATACAGTTACATGCACTTACACGTACACATTGCAGCAAATCTTGACCACTGAATTTGATCTATTGGTCTCCATCAGATGTTTAACATAGTGTCTGATTCAAAACGTTTTCAGGACTAAAAACGGGCAGTGTGCCAAATGTGGCTAAGTTGTAAATCTATGTCTCGCACACAAACACGCTACAGGACAAGAAGTTACTGAGGATGTGGTGGTACCTGGCACAGCGCACCCAGTTGGTGTGCTGGTTGAGAGAGTAGACGAAGCACTGCCGGTGAACACTCCACACTTTGACAGACTTGTCGTCAGACGCTGTCACCAGTCTCTGGCCATCGTGGGAGAAACCAACACTGCGTACAGCGGCCGTGTGGGCTTTAAACACTGTTGACTCTCCTTTCCTATAGTACACAGGCACATAATACAACTCATAACCCAGCCTCTCCTATTATCACATGCCACACAGCCTCAGTCTGTATGGTGTGTGTGTGACTCTCTAGCCAGTTTTACAGTTAAGTTTCTGATATATTGCACCAAACTGTGCACTAGATCATTTGTTTTACATTTCATCTTAGAGTCCATTTATTTTACTCAGCAAACAAGAGTGTCCTGATTAAAGAAGTGTCTTGAACCTACATGGAAGGTGTCCACAGTCGGACTGTTCTGTCCTTGGAGGACGTAGCCACCAGGTTACCAAAGGGGGAGAACTGCACACCAGTGATGGCATCTTGGTGGCCAACAAAGCGGAAAGCCCTCGCTTTTGTAGCCAGATTCCAGATCATCAGGCTCTTATCCACTGACCCTGAGGCTAGAGGGAGACAAAAGAGAGATGAAAGGAGAAAAATGTGCTCAGGATTTCCTGCTGGAGAATTAAAGTAGATTAATTTACTGGTATTGAAAGAGGATATTACAGTGAATAAATTTAGCTAAGTTTTATTGTTAACTTTTAACTAGGTCTCATATGAAAGAAGAGCATTCAGATAAGTCAGCTTTTTCATTAGACAGGTTAACATAATAGTCACTGGTTATACGTCACAGTGTCAAGAGAATACATCACTGTCACAGAAACCAAGATTACTATCCTAGGAAAAAGGTAGGTTATCTCACTAATAGATCAGTTGGAGGTAAAACTTCAGAAAATCACTTAGCTTGCATATATAAAGTTGGACGGTTACTAAAGATCTGAGTAACCGTGATTATTTTACTAAATTCTATGATCATGATTACTCTATTACATAAATGTGCACCAATTTAACTGTTTTCAGGTTATAGCAAGTGCCAAAACTAAGCATGGCATGATTACAGGAAAGTAGCTGCATACTGGCAAAGGACACCTGAATAGCATCTGTGTATTTGTAAAGTTTGTAGTGGCTGCAGAAAGTACCCAGTTGTTTGCAGTTTGGATTGAAGTCTGCACATGTGACAGCATCTTTATGTCCCTTGAAGTGTCTCTCTAGGGTCGGATCCTCCTGCAATGACAATGGACAGTCAGTCGGAAAAACTCCGTTTTCTAATTGGGTAGCACAGTCCACCAGGCTCAACTCACTTCCCTTTTCCGGCAGAAGAAGGGTTTGAACTGTGAAAATGCTCTATAGACGTAACGTTAAGTCTAGGCTGAGAAAATCTGTTGTTTTGCTAGTATGTTACTGGAGGACTGGGCAGGAAATCCCAATATGGCACTGCCTGCCTAAGCAGACCAAACATGGTTTCGTTTAGGGGCACCAGTAAAGAGACATCACACTGAGCAAAAACGTCAGGAGCTGAAGAACAGTATTTACCAACACGATTTAACAGAGGGGACCCAAGTGTGTTTGACAGCCCCACTTAGCAAATCCTCTTAGCAGAGAAGCAGCTAGCAAACTTGCCGACTCAGCTACCATTAGCACCAGTGTACGTTTCTCAAACACATTAGCCTTTTACGAAAGTATTTACAAATAACATACTTACCAAAACCGACCCCATTGTGGGCACTTGCTAAAAGATGTCAATCTAATGTTGTCAATGGGAAAGTTGGACCACCCCGCTGATCTGTAACGGTACTTCCATGTCAAACAGTGCGCCTTCAGCAACTGACTCAGACCTGACCTGTCGAACTCAGATAATACGGTGTTCTGTTCGACTGTTTTTTAGTAACCCTTTGTTGATTTTGAACGTTTTGCACTTTGAATGAAAATTGAATTTTGTGTTTACATAAGAAGCCGATAACACCCGCTATTTCTGCAGCTAAATAACTAGCCACCTGTGGCTCGAGCTTGTGGGAACGAAAGACGATGGCGCTGCATTCAAGAACCACATGGAAACGACCATCCGATATTAAAATTCCATTCATACGTTTAAAATACCATCAAGTTGTACATAATAATGGTAACCTGCTGGGGAATTCGGAGTTTGGCGGTAAATTCAATAAATCAAGGATCAAATCGATTCGAAAGGAGAGGTCCGCAGCCAAAATACAGTGAACACCACATAAAAACAAAATAAACCTAACAAAACATTCACATTAAGTATCCGTTTGGTGATCAATAGCGACCGAGTGGTGTAATGTATGAATACCACCAAAGCGCTGCCAACGAGTCCATAGTTTGTGAACTTCGCATTGTTTTTACTCAAAAAACGTTTAGATTATTTCTATATGACATGAATGCAGCATGTCGTTAGGGAGCAGCGTCTGCCGCTGCTAAGCAACTAGCTAGCCAGCCATATCGTATGAAAGTGCTTTAAAGGAGAAGTGACGCAGCATCAGCTTCTCTGATTGGTCCGTGAAACAGCACTGACAAATCAGCACCGAGATTGTTAAACTTGGAAATTGATGTTTGGCATTTCGGTTTGAAAAGATGTCGCTCAATCGGGGCATCGGCAATGTGGAGGTAACGTTAGTTTAATGACAGCATTACTTAATTTATTTACCCGCTAAGTGGTAATATTGCACTATTGATAGTATCATGCACTTTGAATACACCGCGGGCCAACAAAATCAAGTGTAGCTATCCCAGCAAGCTAGCTAGTTAGCAGTGTTAAGTTACCAAACGACAGCGCACCTGTAAGAATCATGACGTTTTTTTTAAAGCTCCCATTCTCGCAGGCAAACGTAACTATTGTTAACTGCTACTGTCGTTGTTTATGGCCATACAGCTAACGAAATCTATGGTTGTCTTTTCCTTCTAGTACATGAAAAAAAGGATACCGAAAAACGCTAAGTATCAACATGTCAGAACGAGGCTGGACACAGGTATCTTGGCCATGTGTACTATAATGTTATAAACGAGTGTCATTTGTTTATGCCTAAAATGATTTGTTAATGCTCTTTTTGCCTCATTAATATGAACGTTACTGTCCTTTTTTATACAAAAGGATGCAGCCTTACAAAGTATATGGAAAAATTGGAGGAGATCAAAAAAAGTGAGTAACTCATTTGAAGAGGATTCAGACCTGGCAAGTAATTGTACATATGTGTATAAGCAGGGCTGCCATTAACAGTTATTTTTGTTGTTGATTAATTTGTTAATTATTTTCTTGATTAATCGATTAGTTGTTTGGTCTAAAAAATGTCAGAAGATAGTGAAAGATGTCACCAGTCTTCCCCAAAGCCCAGGTCGATGTCCTCATATGTCTTTGACCGAAAGATATTCAGTTTACTGTCGGAGAGGAGTAAAGAAACCAGAAAATATTCAGTTTTGACTTTTCTTTCTGAAAAATGACAACTTGTTGTTGCTCTATTTATAAGTATCATGTTTTATCTTTCGACTCTACTATATGTACTTTGATGCAAGGACTGCTAGATTGCTGCCCTGTAGGACACATTTAATTAGTTCAGTCCATTGGCATCTTATAAACACTTTGCACTCTGCCCAACTGTGAATAGCTAGATCAAACAGCCTAGTTTGGCAGGATAGTGCAGACACAAATGATCCAATTACAGCAAAATAAGCCATCCTACAGGTCTTTTTCTTAGTGTAATGTGGATGGATGAGAAGAATTTGCTGTCCACTTAAGGTACAATATGCCAACTTGGCACTTGGAATTCCCAAGGATGTGTGGGTTTGTCTTCTCTGTCTGTCCGTCTACTTGAAGAGGTAAACCTGAGAAGTTCTAACCCACTGATATTTCCCAGTTAAATTAGTTCTTTGTGGACAGTGCATTTTGTTTTGACCCATCCCCCGATTTCTCAGGGATAAGTGACACTGATTCCTTCACCCTCCAATGGAGGATTGTACTCAAGTCCACAATTATTCCTCTATGTGACTCACACAGAGTTTGGGGACACGCTGGTCAGGTGTCAGCAGGGGTCTTTGAGAAAGTGTGAGCTAGTGAGGTCACACTGTGGAAAATGCCAGTATCAATAGCACAGATAAAACTGTCTGAGCAGCCGGATTTGGGTGTAGTAGTGGCAGCTTTAGCTAGAAAGTAGCATGGGAACAGACAGGGTAGAGCTGAGGCTTAGTGAAGCATTAGAGGGGGGTGAGGAGAGAGAGGACCAGCAAGACCCAGGTGAGTTGGGAGTAATACATCTGCATGCAATGGCTAAAGTAATTATCACTGTTTTTTTAAACTAGACTGAAGGTGCAAAGTTAGTATCTTTCTCCTAACGTTTCTTAGATTGAAGTATTTGTTTGTTTGTCTTATTTTTAGATTATAGGTATCGAAAAGATGAAATCTTCAAGCGGTTAAAGGTGACAACGTTTGCACAACTGGTAAGCATTGTTTCCTTGCAATAGTCAAGTGAGTTTTATTTATATAGCCCAATGTAGGGCTGGACAATAAAACAATAACAATAATTATCGATATATATTTTTTTTCAATAACAATATAATAAATATTCAATGCATTTTTGATTTTATTCTCTTTAATCAAAAATTAGCACTTAATTTTTTAAGATGTTTATTTTGTTGAGGAAAAAGCTGAAAAACGCTTTACTCATGCATATTTGTTGACAAAGATTTTATCATAATTGTTTTGAATGTTTTACCTCAGATTTGTGAAGTGATCCACTGTTTGGCATCAAGTGTTGCTGGACCTATAAGGAAGAGTTTAAATCACAATTAACCATAAGGTTTCTTAAACTTTCAATCAGAAGCAGAAATCAGCCTTTAAACTTGAAAGAAATAACAATTTGATCCTTGTCATGATAATTATCAATATCGAAAGATATGAAACTTTTTATTTTGATAACATTTTTGGCCACATCGTCCAGCCCTAGCCCAGTGTCACAAATCCCAATTTGCTTCAAGGGCCTGGACAAGCTGTACAGCAGGGGTCGGCAAATAAGTCTGGCATTGGGCCAAATTTTTAGTCAAATTATTTCAAACTCTTGAATATTCATGTGTATGTTTAGCTTCAGTAGAGTGCGGGACTCCCGTTGGGAGAGTTGTATGATCGATCCCAACATCCCGTTTAATCTTTCTTTCTCCCTTGTTAAACAAATTGATTTATAAGGACACTTTTGCACATGCTCACAACAAAGCATGTTCTGCACATCCCGGCGTTTGATCCGCATTCAGAAACCTACGGATGTTTATTTTCATTTCCCTGAGGAAATTCACGGGAATCCAATTACACGTTTACTGACGCCTTTTTCAGGGGTGTTTCAAGCAATCCAGAGAGTCTTTTGAATGTCCTCCAGATCTTTTCAAAGTAAAAGCTCTCAATAAACTCAACATTGCTGCAAAAAACTTTCTTGCGCTTTTATTTTGTAGGCATCACTTAAGAGGAAGTGATTATGTGAGTAACTGTTGCTGTCATGACTGAGATCTATTTCAGCAACGCTATCAGTTTATGTATTTGTTATTTTTCTGCTGTCAAAGCAATTAAATTTTATTTCTTGGGGCAAATCTGGCCCGTCAATTGCCAACCACTGCTGTACAGTATACAACAATCTCTGTCCTGAGACACTCAATTCGATATGTCGTACTCAATGTTTTCGTTTCTTGTTTTTTTGTTGCCTGTATTTTGGAGATGATGGAATGAATGCAGTGAGATAGTCTGATCATTTCCAGTGCTTAATAATTGACAGACTACAGACTCTTTGGACTTTTACTTCTAATTCCTTTGCAGCTTGTCTTCCTAGTACAAGCATCTTTGATTTACAGACTTGTTTTTCACACCAGATACTTCAGGTAGCCTCCGTTTCAGACCTGAATGAAAGTGATGACGGCGAATCACACGGCCCAGAAGGTAACATGGCAGAATTATTTATATCATTTAATATTGTGAAACGTCTTTGTCTCCAGCTTTTATATCAAATGGGTCATTAACATTTCAAAACAAATTTAACTTGTGCCGCCAACATTACCTGTACTGGATATACTGTAATGTATAGTATGTTAAATAGATTTAAGTCTCTGTAGGTGACTGTAGGTGACAGTCTGGTGATTTTCCACTCCCACTGATTTGCAGACGGTCTGTCAGTGGTGTCTGATGCAGACCTAGAGTGTCTGTCTGAACACACCAATGGCTCCCCTCAGGCATCACCTGTTTCAGATCGCCAGGATGCAGGAGACACCAGGGAAAACTGCTACACTGCCAGATCAACACTGCTAAGGTACTGTACAGCTCAGCACCCTGAAAAGCCTTACTGCAACCATCATACTTCACGCAGCACACTATATTACTCAGTTTGGTGGACAACCTTAATGCAAAATACCTTGTATAATTGTGATGGCAGCATTGATATTGAGAACACAACAATTGGTGGTAAAGGTTTGGCTCACGACATTATTTCTAGTTGTTACCCCCTAGGCTCACACCCTCAGTCTCACCTAGCATCCAACAATTACAACCCCTAACCACAAGCCCAGCTGTAACCCTACACCCACCATATCTGTATCAGGACTCAGCATAATGTGGCTCCACGTTTTGTCCCTGAAGACATCTGCCTGCTCCACACCCCAGCCTCCTGTAAGCTGCACAATATCCTCCCTCAATATTTTCGTACCGTCCCCTCCTCTCACCTGCGTCCTCTCCCTACTCCAGCTTGATCAGGAACCCCAGGAGTGAAACTCTATCTGTGGTCTCTGTAGGGGCCACAGACAAAGTCTCTGTAATGACAGAGCTTCACCTTGTGGGGAAGACAGATGGAGAGAGAAAGTAGGGCAGTGCTGCTACATGGAGGAGGGGAGGGGGGGGGGGGGGTACAGCGTTGTTTGTTTAGCTCCATACTTTCATTTGTTGCAGTGTTTTGTACTCTAAGCCCTGATTTCACATTAACTGGTTCAAAACTTGACCGATCAAACTCTCCCTGCTTTAAGAAACAAAATCAGTACTGTCCTGTACTGAGTCGTCCTTGACCGTTACAGACATTAGTAAAATTGTACCAGGGGATGTAGAAGTGGTGCGTCCACCATTGTTGCCATGGAAAATATGTGTTTTACAAGCCAGCAGGTGACAACATAACATCATATATCGGGATTGGTCAAGAGTTTAGTCAACGTTCTAAATCAGTGCACATGCTTGTCTAACCTGCATTAGACTAAAAGTAATTGTCAAGCTACAATACTAATATTTAACGCTATATTAATCATTAAATTAACTGAAATTTAATGATACCTGTCACATATACCAAACAAATTGTAATAAATGGGTGACTCTTTTCACTTTTTCCCTTTTTGTTTTCATTGAGAAGTTGCCACTGCGCAAGTATGGTAAGGCAACCTCACAACATAAACCGTAATTTACCTTGTCTCCTCTGTTATTTTCTTATATTGGATAGAAATAAAAATAAAATAAAAAATAACTTACATTGAACAACAACTTTGAAAAACCTTAAGATAATATGCGCTCTTATCAATATTTTGGATTGAAAAATTATTGATAAGAGCGTTGATAAGAAGGCCACATAGGTTAATTAAAATGAAACGATTTATTCAAGGAGTATAGCTTTACTGAAAGCAATCCTTTGTAGAGACAAAGAGCTGTACATACACATATAAACAAAGAATGGATAGAAATAAGAATAAATAACACGTCATTAAGTTAATCATTTTGAACACATTTTATATAGCCCTGTATTTCTAGCAGTCTGTGACAGGTATTGCAGCCTCTAACCTTTTACCTTTTACAGTGTTATTAGTGGCGTGGGAGAGTTGAATCTCGAAAGGAACAATCACAACATGGAGTCTCTGTTTAAACCTGAGCCGGCTGACAGGCCCTACACAGACTGCCCTTACCTGCTGCTGGACGTACGGGACCGTGACCAATACGACCACTGCCACATCATCAGCGGTAGGTGGCATCAAGCTAGGTTATCAAGCCTTCTGTGCCAAACATATCTATTGTTGTTTTTATGAGCTCTCTCTCCCCTACAGCACACAGTTTTCCCATTGCCATGCTATCTCGAACAATGAACCCCTACACCAAAGAAGTGCTGGCATATGTATCCTTCAACACAAACCACAAACAATGTTTACCTGTCCTGACATTTTTTTATGTAATAGTATTAATGTCAAGGCTTTTTGAAATGCAGTTACAACTGATTATTGACTGAACTTAACCGACAAACTGAAGAAAAATGCAGCTGGGAAGATCATCATCGTGTATGATGAGGATGAGAGAATAGCCAGCCAGGCGGCCACAACCATGTGTGAACGAGGATTTGAGAATCTGTTTATGCTGTCTGGAGGTAAGGCATCGCTCAATTCGTATAGTCTACTTCCTTTAAAAGTAATCTAATCCATTGTGAAAATGGCATTTCATGTATCAGAATAAACTAATCTAAAAACAATAAAATAAAAGATGAAAAGGGCTTTCATCCCATGCACTCTCGCAGGTCTCAAGGTAATCGGTCAGAAATTTCCAGAAGGGCTAACAACAGGCTCCATCCCGCCTTCATGCTTGTCCTCTCCTGCATCAGTGAAGAGGAAGAAGAGCTCTGTGCCGCAGCAGCCATCACAGGCAGCAGAGCAAAGGTGGCGGTTTACATCGGACGAGCTCGCCAAGGTCCAGGAGCAGATGGAAGAGATGCTGATCTCCAGTAACTCCAACAGTAAGACCACACTCAGAAACTCAAAATTCTAATTTCCAATTCAAAATGTAATAATAGGCATCTGTAAGTATGGGCAAAGTAGAGGTTAGTTAGTTATGATGAGTTTATAAGCAGTTGTTGATTTCCAGAGAAATTATATTAAAAATAACTGCTCAATTTAAACCAAAGTAAATGCATGTATTATTGGAAACATTGTTCTCCACATGTGACTGATTGTATACCCGAGCTGACCTGCTGTCCACAAAAACTAGGTAATGTCAGAAATTAATTTATCTATTGGACACTTTCTCCATTAATGTTTTTCCCTTTAATTGATACCAAATTAGATAGTTTGTTCCCATTTTGAAGTTGCCTATTGTGTCCTTTTACTAGGACATACAGTATCTCAAAAAAGTGAGTACATCCCTCACATTTTTGTAAATATTTCAATATATCTTTTCATGTGACAACACTGAAGAAATGACACTTTGCTACAATGTAAAGTAGTAAGTGCACAGCTTGTATAACAGTGCAAGTTTGCTGTCCCCTCAAAATAACACATCACACAGCCATTAATGTCTAAACCGCTGGCAACAAAAGTAAGTACACCCCTAAGTGAAAATGTCCAGATTGGGCCCAAATGGTCAATATTTTGTGTGGCCACCATTATTTTCTAGCACTGCCTTAACCCTCTTGGGCGTGGTGTTTAACAGCATGTGCACTCAACTTCTTTGGTCGACCATGGCGAGGCCTGTTCTGAGTGGAACCTGTCCTGTTGGCCACTGTGCTGCAGCTAAGTTTCAGGGTCTTGGTAATCTTCTTATAACCTAGGCCATCTTTATATAGAGCAACAATTCTTTTTTTCGGATCCTAAGAGAATTCTTTGCCATGAGGTGCCATGTTGATCTACCAGTGTGAGAGCGATAACACCAAATTTAACACACCTGCGACCTTGTAACACTAACGAGTCACATGACAACAGGATGGAAAATGGCTTATTGGGCCCAATTTGGACATTTTCACATAGGGGTGTACTCACTTTTGTTGCCAGCGGTTTAGACATTAATGGCTGTGTGATGTTTTATTTTGAGGGGACAGCAAATTTACACTGTTATACAAGCTGTACACTCCCTACATTACATTGTAGCAAAGTGTAACTTCTTCAGTGTTGTCATGAAAAGATATAATCAAATATTAACAAAAATGCGAGGGACATTCAATTTTGACATCAATTTTGTGAGATACTGTATATGGGACCCAAAAATAAAGTCCATTAAATTCTGTTAACAGGCCTGTTAAGGTCATGAATCAAAATTACATAGCACAACCTAAACTATGAAATTAAGAGAAAATTAGGCTGTTTGCCCTGTCTTATCACTTTGCTACCCTTCAGTATTGTTTGCACATGTTCACTACAGGCCGCATGTCCAGCCGTATATCAACCAGCAGCTCCCAGTCTAAAGCGTCCAGCGCTCGGAGACGACAGAGTTCCTCTACAACTGGGAGGGACAGCGCCAGGGTTCAGAGCAGTAGACCGTGGAAATAACTCTATCTCCCCCTTGTTAACCACACAGATAAACAAACAAACAAACAAACAAACATACCTCTAACAAGTCCATTTATTTTAGGTTACATTTCTCTGCTCCATAAAGAGACACACATCTGATACCAGTCTACAAAATAATCCTACATATGTATACAGACATGTGTAGGATTATTAGTTTCCAATATTGGAAATTACACACACCTTGGGAAAAGTAATTAACACCACACAGAAACAATAACCAAAATCATTCAAACTCAAATTAAGATCCATGGATAGAACATTATCACATTTACAAATGAAAAACATGTTCGTACAAAAGGAACTTTAATTTCAGACTCATTGGTAACCAGTGTAATACTGCACTCTTCACCTCTGGATTTATATGAAACTGTAGCATTTTCCCCTTAATGTTTTTGGTTGATAATATATGTAATAAATTGTTTATATTTGAATGTTGCCTCATCTGTGAACCTGAAAGCTGATGGATCTTTTTGCACTCAAATGAATTTTTCATGTAACACTATTCTCACCTGTTGTTTTTCACCAGCTGATGAACCTGTGCAGATTCACACCGTGGATATAATAGTTTGCTTTTTTAACGTTATGTCTAAAAATGTCCTGTTTAGCTCCATCAGTATGACAGCCACCAAATAAATGACATTCCTAAAAATCATACAATTTCTTTTTGCTGGAGACAGAATATTTGAATGTTGATCTGACAGAAAGGATATTCTGGAAGGAATCTTTGTATTACATAAGATGTCATTTAGATAAATAATGTTACAGAGCTTGATCCATTTTGTAAAATTAAGAAACGTGCTGTATTTTTGTCATTTTCTCCATGTTGTCATGGTGTCTTATTGTGATTCCTGAACTGAAAGTGTATCAACAGCCTTTATGTGCAACGTTTTCGTCCGCTTATGCTGTTACTTGACTGATTTTATTTGTGTGTGTCTGTGTCTGCGTGTGTGTGTCTGCATCAAAGTACTGTAGATTGTGATCATTACACAAACAGATTGGTTGAAACCTTCATACAAATTTCATAATACAAAATGTCATAATACAAAATTGCTGTGTCACTAAAGGAAGGAAATGGGCATTTTTTCATAGCTGTAACCCACAGTTGCATTTGAAAAACAGTATTGCTAATATCCTGTTTTGTTAGCATGGTAATGACTGGCATGGTTCTTGGTCAACTTTCCCTGGTTACACTAACACGGCCTATGAATGAAAATGGAATGACTGCAGCTCTTTTTTTTTTTTTTGATTAATCATATTTCACCATCAGTCTTAACTGACATTAACGATCTGATCACATGATTTGTTTGTAAATGAATGTCAAATAAAGTGTAAAGTGCTGTAGCATGCTTGTTTCCTTGTCAATAAGGCCGTTGTGAAATGTAGACAGAACAAATAGCAAAAGTGGCATGATGAGTATGAGACAGAAAAGTTCAGAATTTCAGCTCTCATTTCTTGGTATTCACATCTAGATGTGTTAAATAACTCAGGACGTACCGCTCAGAGAGCTGTCTATGGGAGAAAAGCAAGCCATTGTCAAGCTGAGAAAGAAGGAAAATCGACCAGAGCCATTGGACAAACATTGGGAATAGCAAGCACAACAATTTGGAATGGTCTGAAAAAGAAAGAAACTACTGGTGTACTGACAACAGACATCCAACAGGTCGGCCAAGGAAAACTACAGTAGTTGATGACAGAAATATCGTGAGAGCTGTGAAGAAAATGCCCAAAACATCAGTAAGTGCCATCAGCAACGACCTCCACAGAGCAGGGGTGAAGGTATCACAATCAACTGCTGGAAGAAGACTCAGAGAGCAGAAATATAGAGGCCACACCACAAGATGCAAACCACTCATCAGCAGGAAGAATCGGAAGTACAGAGCCGCAAAAGTTCTGTAACACAATCTGATGGACTGATGAGACCAAGATCAATCTCTACCAAAGTGTGGAGAAAGAAAAGAAGTGCTTATGATCCAAAGCATACAAGCTCATCTGTGAAGCATGCTGGAGGTGATGTCATGGCTTGGGCGTGCATGGCTGCTTCTGGAACAGGCTCATTAATATTTATTGATGATGTAACTGATGATGGTCGCAGCAGAATGAATTCAGAAGTGGACAGAAACATTTTGTCTGCCAATTTACGGAGAAATGCATTGAAACTAATGGAGAGGAAGTTTATCATGCAGCAGGACAATGAGCAAAGCACACTGCCAACAAAACAAAGGACTTCATCAGGGGAAAAAGTGGAAGGTTTCAGACTGGCCAAGTCAATCACCTTTTCAACCACACCACAGCACTGAGACGGCTCTTGTTAAGGTCTTCAATGACATCCATTTAAACGCTGACAGTGGCAGAATTTCAGTCTTAGTATTCTTGGATCTCAGTGCTGCATTCGACACGGTTGACCACAACATATTACTAGACAGACTTGAAAACTCGGTTGGACTTTCTGGCACAGTACTAAAATGGTTTGAATCCCACTTAAAGGACAGGGACTACTTTGTGTCTATAGGTGATTACACATCTGACAAAAATGACATGTGGAGTTCCCCAAGGCTCCATTCTGGGACCTCTTTTGTTTAACATTTACATGCTTCCATTGGCTCAGATTATGAAAAACAACAAAATATGTTATAATAATTATGCAGATGACACACATATTTACATAACCATTTCACCAGGGGACTATGATCCCATACAGGCGCCGAGTAACTGCATTGAGCAGATCAACGATTGGATGTGCCAGAATTTTATTCAATTAAACAAGAATAAAACCGAAGTTATTGTTTTTAGAGCCAGTGAGGAACAATTGAAAGTCAGTGCTTGACTTCAATCTGTAATGTTAAGAACCACAAATCAAGCCAGAAATCTTGGTGTAGTCATGGACTCAGACCTGAATTTGAGGAGCCATATTAAGACAATTACAAAGTCAGCCTACTATCATCTGAAGAATATATCAAGGATTAAAGGACTTATGTCTCAGCAGGACCTGGAAAAGCTTATCCATGCATTTATCTTCAGTCGACTCGACTACTGTCACAGTGTCCTTACAGGGCTCCCTAAGAAATCCATCAGACAGCTGCAGCTGATTCAGAACGCTGCTGCTCGAGTCCTCACTAAGACCAAAAAGTGGATCACATCACTCCAGTTCTGAGGTCTTTACATTGGCTTCCTGTATGTCAAAGAATTGATTTCAAAATCCTGCTGTTAGTTTATAAAGCACTAAATGGTTTTATAAAGCACTAAAATACATTTCCGATCTTCTGCTTCGTTACGAACCATCCAGACCTCTCAGGTCGTCTGGGATCAGGTCTGCTTTCTGTCCCCAGAGTCAAAACTAAACAAGGAGAAGCAGCATTCAGTTATTATGCTCCGTATATTTGGAACAAACTCCCAGATAACTGCAGGTCTGCTGAAACTGTCAGTTCTTTTAAATTAAGACTGAAGACTTTTCTTTTTACCATTGCTTTTAATTAAATGTTTAAGATTTTTCTTTTATTGTTAACATACACTGCACTGTAACTTTTACTGTCCTGTTTTTCTTTGTTTTTAGCTTTTAATATTTCCATTTAATAGTCTTTTAACCCTGACTGTAACACTGTAACTTTTATTATATTTTATGTTGCTTTTATGTTTTATGTAAAGCACTTTGAATTACCTTGTTCTTTAAAATGTGCTATACAAATAAACTTTTTGCAGTTATTGCAAGCAAGGGTTATTTATTTTGAGATTATTTGTTCCTTTACTTTTGCTCACCAAAGAATGCTGTGGTCTAATACAAATGGTAAATACTCTGCATAGCACCTTTCTAGTCTTTTTGACCACTCACAGTGCTTTTACACTACATAACATTCACACAGTGGTGCAATAGCCACCAGGGGCAATTCTGGGTTCAGTGTCTTGCCTGGAGGAGCCTGGCACTGAACAATCAACCTTCTAATTAACGGGCAACCTGCCTCCTGAACCACAGCCGCCCGGTGATATGTCCTGAGTTGTTTAACACATCTACATGTGAATACCAGGAAATAAAAGCTGAAATTCTGAACTCTTGTCTCATACTCATCTTTTGATCTTAAACCCAAACGTCTTCAGTAAACAACAAAAACAAAGGAATTTGCCTCACCGTTCCAATACTTTTGGAGGGGACTGTACATTTGGATTAAACTTGACAAGAACAAAGTTCCACACTGTACCACACCCAAATTTACTGCATTGTATGTATTTATTTATGGGTGTGGAATGTAGAAGAGCAAACGTGCATACATTTGTGTCCAACATGCATCCAATTTAAAAGGCATAAAATCATAAAGACATGGAACCTGCAGTTTTCTAGTGTGCTCATTTATTTGTCTGTTTGTGGTTATTGCTGTGTCTAAAAAGTAATGTATGTATCAAGTATGATGATGGTGTCTTAAAGATGACATTTTAAAGGTGACATTTGCCAATAATATCCTCTCAACAGGGGTTTCCACTTGTACACACATACACATTAGTAGGGGTTCTTGAAGGTGTGATCCATGATAGCCATGAGAGCCAGCCAAGTCTCCTGGGCGGTGGGAATGATCTGATTGGCTGGCAGAATGAAGCCATAACGGCCGGTGTCCCTCAGCTCGAAGGTGTAGGAGTACTTGATGCCCTGGTTGTAGGTCCAGTCAATGGTGCCACCGCTAGCTTGGTCTATAGTAGAAACAGGTATCACTCAGGGTATTTATATTCAAAATACAGGCTTTCAGGTGGCAGCCATAATGGAGGCCGCCCTGTCACAACAGAACTGTCACTGGTTTGCAATGAGTATGGTTTGTTTCACATTTAAAATCAGTATGTAGAACTGATATATTTCGGACTTTGGCGTCCCCCAGTGGTAGTATGAAAGAAGATATCTTTCTAACAGTTGACAATGTGTTACTATACTGTACGGTGATTTGTGACCCAATTACAAACCTTGAAAAACAGTTAATGAGTAAGTAAATAGTATGTGTCTTGCTCAAGGGCACTTCAGGTCTGACACCCCCCGTGCTGGAAAGCAGTACTAAACTTGACATCTGTTTTTTCCTCCTGTGGAGGTTTACGGTAAATGAATGTAACACAATATAATGCATAGAGTTTAGTTTACTACTACCCTTTGTTAAACATTGTTTTAATGTGTTTGTGAACCTTCTTGTATGTTGTTTGTATTCATCTTTTAGGTTTGTTAATCTGTAGTTATCCTGTTAAATAATAGATTAAATTGTTACATCTACTTGGTAGATTACAGTTGTAATGAAAGCTAGAGTAAGAAAAAGAGAAAAGGATACATCCTGATAATTAGTATTATGTGGGATAAAGTGAAATGAATCTATATTATAGTATTGCTGAAACTTACAGATGGTGTTGATGATGCTGCCATATCTGTAGCTAGTGCCGTACAGGGAGGCCAGGTCAGTGATAGCCTTCTTAGCCAGTTTGTTCTGCGGGAATATTCAAATAGTTTCTCATATATTACATTTTACAGGCAAACCTTCACAGGGACTGCAATTGATGCACCCAGAGAACAAAATCTATCAGTTTTCTCAGTTTGATCATGAAAAACAATTAAAGAAATCATAAAAGGCAAGGATTTCGATTTTTTACCAGCTCAACTTCGTCCTTGGCTGGAGTCCTGGTGTAGCCGTAGGGGTACAGGAGCATCTGGGAGTAGGAATGGATGGAGACAAAGGCCTTGATGTTATTGTGGGACTTCACAAAGTCCACAATGGACTTGACCTCAGACTCAGAATTAGCCCTGGGTCCTCTGTAGGTCTCTGAGCAGGGGTTGCTGCTGGCACCAGCTCCTACACATGGATGACAACATCGTCAGAGAAACTGCAAGAAAAAACATGCCACTGTCTGTCTATAAACACCCACATTTGGTTCCTTGAGACTATATCATACTCATGGCGCAGCCACCAAAATGTGTGTTTTTTATGCAATTTGTATTGTGTCCTCTGCATGTTGGGAGAGCAAAAGACCATCATGTTTAAAGCCACTGCGTGTAGGAATTAAAAATGTGGTGCTTCACCATCTTCATCATCTGATTATAGTACTATTGAGCATGGCAGACAGCAAAGCACACATAATTGAAATTCTATACAAAGTAATTTTGAATGCAGGTGAAATTTATTGAAACTTGATTGAAAAAAAAGAATTACTGACCATTTTTAAAGAAAGCAAAAACCTTGCTGATAATTACTTTAGACGGTAGGCTTGGAGAAAAAAAGTCTTGAGAACATTTCATGCACAGATTGGTAGATTTCAGCTTGAGAGAAAGACATTACCTCCAAAACCAGCATCCCAATTCCTGTTGGGATCGACCCCCACACAGCTGGAGCCAGAGTTCGGCTTCCTTGTCTTACGCCACATCCGGTTCTGAAAACATCAGATGTAACAATTTGTCACTTTTTTATTTCCTTTCCGTTTATGTAAGTCCTGATTTATTTATGATTTCTTTAACTGAGACCCAGAGAAATACACATTAACAGATTCACAATTATTAGATGTGTTATATCATCCTGTAACCTAATTTTCAGCACCAGTTCCTGTCTTTATGTATCTTTCCTGAGCAGATGTTACATTTGAACTTGAATGGATCTACTACTAATGGATCATCTACACAACTTATCAATGTTTAAAAAACATCAATGCATAGAGTAGTTTTATAAAGGAAGTCAGGATTTACAAGTCTTTGTATTCATGTCCTTGAAAGTGGAACAGGAAACACATGCCATGCTAAAATTCACATGACAGTCAGATTACTCTATTATCGCCTGTCATGACAACTTTGGAAGCTAAACAGGGTTCAGAACCTCTGTAGAAGCCTTTAAACGGTACCACAAGGGATTATTGTCAATCTAAAACCTGAATGAAGCAGGAAATCATTCTAAAATCGCTTAGTGAAATCTAGCTATGAGAGGCTCACAGTGGTGTGTGTGTAGGAGAAGCCATCAGGGTTGGTCACAATCTCCAGAAAGATGTCCATCTTGTTGAGGATGGCAGTGAGAGCGGGGTCACGTCCATAATCAGTCACAATCTACTTACAGATATGTAAAGAAGACAATGTTTATTGTAGCAGGTTATTGGTCAGAAGCTGCAGTGACAGTGACAACCAAAAACACTGTGTAAATGATCAAATCACCTTTTTTGCGAACCAGGTGCCGCTGGCCTGAGTGACCCACTCTCTGGAATGGATTCCAGTGTCGAGCCAAATGGCGGGCCGGTTGGTTCCACCAGTGCTAAACTAAAATACAAGAGAAGAATAAATGAGTAGATATACATACAATTATGTGTTTCCTCATTTTTCGTCATTTGCTGGACACTGTTTGTTTTGTTTACCTTAAGCACATTCAGGGGACGACCCTCGTAGCTTTGACCAATCACTATCTTGCTGACCAGGTTGGGATTCTCAGCCACCAGCATGTCCTGGAAACTGTAGATCTAAATCAAAGACAAAATCCTTTATTCACGAGCATCAGTTGAGTATGACATAATTCTGTTTTGTCTTAAGTGAGTTTAAATCTTTTGTGGAAGTACCGTCAAGTTGGAATATAGAGTGCTTTTTTGATGCAGATCATCAGGGATGCATTCAGAGCCAAGTTTGCCAAAGGTGTAAAACCTTCTGTTTTTGTAAGCTAAAACATGTAGTCCTTTTGTTTTGCAGTGTATACAGTTATTTTTTTACATTTTCTATACTTTTAAAAGACACCTTTGGGGATTGCTCAGGCCAAGGGATATCTGACGCAATACAGGGTACAGGCAGCAGACGGGTACAGGGAGGCCAGAAGGGCTGCAGCTTTGGTGGTCGCTGAAGCGAAAACCCAGGTATAAGTTTGTGGAGGCTGTGGAGAAAGACTTTTGTTTGAGCTCAAGGTAGGTCTGGCAAACCGTCAGATGACTCAGGAAAGAAAAGCAATGCTTGGCTTAAGCAGTAGAGGAGAATTGCTGACCCTGATTGGGGATGTTGTCAAGCAGTGGAAAGAGCACTTTGAGGAGCTGTGAATAAGATTTGCCCGGACATGGTGAAGGCTTTGGACAATTTTTGACTGACATGGCTGACATGCCTCTTCAGCATTGTGCGTAGTACAGTGACAGTGCCTGTGGACTGGCAGACAGGGATGGTGGGCCAGAGGGTTTATTCTAATTATCAGGGTGTAACACTATTCAGCAACCCTTATGCCAGGGTACTGGAAAAGTAGGTCGACCAATCGTTGAACCTCAGATCGAGGAAGGGCAATGCAGATTCCATCCTGGTCATCAAACAGTGGACCAGCTAATTACCCTTGCAGCGTTGCAAGAAGGGCCATATTAGGGTTATCTAACATGTGCCCATCCAGTCTACATGTATTTTGTGGACTTGGAGAAGGCTCACAAAAGGCATAGCTTTCAATTTACCAGTTAATCCCTGCTCTCCCTTAAAGACAGGGTGAGGAGCTCAGACATCTGGTGGGAGCTTGTGGAGCTGCTGCTCCTTTGCTTCAAAAGGAGCCAGTTGAGGTGGTTTGGGCATCTGATCAGGATGCCTCCTGTGCATCTTCCTTTGGAGGTTTTTCCAGGTACATCCAGGGTAAACCACGAACACGCCTTAGAGATTGTTTACTTTGTCTCGATCCCCTAGGAGGAGTTGGAAAATATTTCTGCTGCTACCTTTGACCAGGTCCCGTATGAGCAAAAGATGGATGGATTGATGGATGGATGGATGGCCTTTTAAGTATGTATTTGTTTCCATATATTGACTTGACATATATTACTTTTATGGTTTTGTTGTTGGTTGCAGGGGTATTGCCACACTTAAGGGATAAATCAATTCACACACTTTACTTACAAAATACTCACCTTGACCTAGCAAATTGTTAATAACTTATGTATAAATGGTACAAATAACATCTGGATTGTTTTTTATAGATTGGAAAACTATTCAACAAAAGTTGTCTGTGAAAATAATGCTTTTACTGGATGACAGTAGCCAGGGCGAGTGTGTGTACCAACCTCACTGATGGTGTGGTACCTGGAGAAGTCAAAGCTGTCAGTGTTTCTGGGCTCAGCGACACGAGTAGCCAACTCCATCTCCTCCTGCTCATCATCCAGCACAGCCTGCGTGACAAATTGAGTCCAACAAATTTATTTTATTGTTTAGTCAGATTAAGCTTTGGCACAAAAAAAAACACCTCAGACTTCAATGAACCTCAAAACCATGTGAATCTAACTTCAGTTTTGTTACTATTGAAGCAGGATTTGAGAATCCAGTCTGTTTGCAGGTCTCATACCTGTAGGTCATCAATCATGATGACGTACTCAACGTCCTGAGTCTCCAGGTAAATTTTGACGGACTGCAGGCTGTGGTTGGGAACTCTGACATCAATAGGAGTTTTCACATCAGTCACCTCCCTCCAGAAGTCCAGCTGAAAGAAACCACAGATATCACACAACAAATTATATTTTTATTTTAATTTATTCACTAATTGCAAAAGAGTAAGAGTAAGAGTATAAGAGTAGAAACAATAAGGTGTCACTCATTTAAAGCTTTGCTCTTTTATGTTTTACTTTCCATTTTTATTTTAGCATATGTTTTAACTTTATTGTTTGTGGATGATGATTACCTCAAACTCAATAATGCTCTCCAGGTCCTTGATAAGAGACAGCTGGACGTCATCCTTTGCAACAATGCGAAGCACTTGATGTCTGCAAAAAAAAAAAACACACAATGTTTTACATCCTTTTACTCAACACCAAGACAGAAGTTGGGAGACGTGGGGTGAAGTAAGATTTATCAAGGCTGGCTGGTACAGCTTATGCAGAAGTTGACACAAATCATGTCCAAACATCCATGGTTTAACCACCCTGAAAAAAACAAACAATCTGTCCTTGAGATCTTTTTATTGACATCATTGCAACGACAGACATATACCACTAGGAGAAATTGAGAAAATGTGTTTTCCTGTAATTTGGGTGACCCTTTGAAAAGTCACAATGTGCATCAAGTGTGCAGTATTTCCTGTGCTGGCCTTGTAAATTTCCACAGAAAAATAAAAGCCTTTGCATTTATTTCGAAAGTGGAGTTATCATTTTAGGCATCTGAACCAGTTTAAATTGACAGGTTTCACCAGGATACATTCAGGTCAAAAAGGGACAATAAATAGAGTTGTGTTATTGATGTGTGCTAGATATTGATTCATTATTGTTTCACTTACATAAATCACTTATACAGATTACACCCTACACAGTTGTGAGAGGCTCTGGGAGGCCTACTTACCCCTCAAACGTCTCCTTGCCAAGAACGGCCACAAACAGCGCGGTGAGTGCGAGCAGCCCCCTCATCATGACTGACAATGTGAACATGGCAGAGCCGAACACAGGCTTTTATGGCTGACGGTGCCAGGTCATGTGTCCAAATCCCAACCTTGCTTAAGGTGATGGAGATGTGTCAACAGCTGATCGTTTTCCCACACCAGCCTGGAGATAACAGACCAAAAGTTGCACCATGCACCTATATGTTTTTGACATATCTGCCGTTTTGTTCAGTTTACAAAGAAAGAGGAAGGTTGTTCAAGGTATTTATTACATATACATGTTATGCAAACAAAAGAGCACAATAAGTAGTCACATAGAGGAACAAACCTGGGGCTGAAGTGAGTCTGTAAAATGTCAGAAAACAGTAAAGAATTGGAGCCTCACAGCTGTGAGTTTCCGCTTCCTCTTTGTTACTGTTGGGGCAAGATTGCAAGCAGCAAGTAGCTTCAGTGAGCTAAATTTAAACCAGCTGCTGGAATATTTGTGCTGTGAGCTCTACATGTTAGCAGAGAAACACTACCAGTCATGAAACATCTTGAGATGTCAGAGGTCAAAACTTCACATCTGGGGCTTTCACATAATAGGAAAATGAGCTATCCACCAAAAAATGTGACACCAGCACTAACAAAGCCTGCATCGTTGTAGCACTCATAGTTAAAGTAAATAGCCAGCTTTTGCCTTCCACTTCTAAAACAGTCACATTTTAGTGGGCATAGTCATCGAGACTGTTTAAATACTGAGCAATGGAAACCAGATAAGGCATTTTTAAATGACACTAAAATCCAATTCTTTCCTATATCATCACCTTCTAATGTCCTTATCAGAAAATATCACCCACACATTTGAACATCATTTAAAGCAAGTACACACAATAGCAAATTTAAAATCCTTGACATTACTCACTAATTTGACTTCTATCCTCGTGTCCCGGAATCCGCAACTTTGTGTTATGCAACCCAGCTGATAAAGACATAGCAGAGGAAAAATAAAGAGAAAGAACCTGAGAGTCAGAGAGTCAGAGTCAGGTGTGGGAAAACATCTGCTATGATTCACAGACATACAGTCAAGCAGTCAGTGCGTAAGTAAAGAGTCCTTAAGGCACTGAGCTCCTGAGCTGAGGTATCACTGAAGGCAGCCTCCACGGACATCTAAACTCTGTTTTTGTCACAGTGAAGCGGCATTTTGACAATATGTAACTTCCTTATTTTGATGTACTACTTTCTGCTGACACATGTAGTCACTGATAAATGGACTGCACTTATATAGCGCCTTTCTAGTCTTCTGACCCCTCAAAGCGCTTTACACTATTTCACACTATACAAGGTAGATTTATTTATCATTTTAAAGCACAGGGTTCTATAACAAGATGAAGTTTTGGTTCCCTTTTATCCTACACTCACAAAAAGCAAACTTTATGTACAAAAATGAAAAATAAAACGATGGGTGGATAAATAACAAGTCATGCAAATTAAACTATTTTAGATGGTGGCGTGCTGAGGATGAATTGAGGAGTCTCACAGACTTAGAGAAGAAGCCGTTCTGAAGTTTGGCAGCACAACTGCAACTACTTCTGTATCTCTTGCAAAAAGGCAGCAGGGTGATCACTGATCAATGATCTTCTGAGCGGCTATAATCACCTTCAGAGCCCTTGTGTCCTGGGCTGTGCACATCCCATGCCAGTTGGTGATGTTTCCAGTCAGGATGCTTTCTATTGCTCCTCTGTAAATGTTAATGAGAACTTTGTACAGGAATTTTGGCTTCTTAAGTTTCCTTATGCTCCACCTCAGCTCCACTGATGTAGACAGGACTGTGTGCCTTCACCTTCTTTATTCCTAAAATAAACAATCAGCTCCGTGGTTTTGCTGTTAAGCAGAAGGTTGTTTTCTGTGCACCACTCTGGAAGCTTGTTTATTTCCACCCAATATGAAGTCTCATTGTTATTTGATATCCAGCCAATGATGGAGGTGTCATCCGCAAACTTATAAACAGAGTGTCAGAGGATGCAATTATAGGTATACGCAGCATTAGCAGGAGTGGACTGAGCACACAGCCCCAGGGGGCTCCGGTGTTGAGCCCAAAAGTAGAGGTGGTGTGACCGCCAATCTGAACTGTCTGGATCTGTTTGTGAGGAACTCCAAAATCCATTTGCTGAGTGTGGTACTCAAGCCCAGATGACTAAATTTGTCAATCAGTTTCATGGGGGAGATTGTGTTGCATGCTGACCCAAGAAAGTACCATGCAAGGTGACAACTGCTCATCAGAAAGGAAACAGAAACTAATCACATTCACAAACATTGTCTTGCCTAAGGACACTTTGACATGCAGACTGGAGGAGCCAGGGCTCAAACCACTGACCTTCTAATTAGTGGAGGACCCTCTCTATCTCCTGAGCTATGGCCACTGTCAAGAAATATATATTGAGGTAATTAGAAACAGTTTTTCAGGAAGTAAAAATAATTAGATTTTACTAGTCATTTGGATGATGGCGGTAGATATGGCCCAGCTTGTTGTGGTGGCAGCCCGGCTGACGGTGAGTGTCCTGGTTTTTTTTTCTCCTTTTAATCAGTTATTCTGCTTTTTCCTTGGTTTTCTGTTCCCTGCCTGCCTCCCTGTGTTTTCTCCCCTGTGTGCTCTCTCTCCCTCTGCTCCTGAGCCCAGCCAACTACCTGCACCTGCACCTCATCAGCCACCTCGTCAGCCTGCCACACCTGCCAGTAGTCAACCTCGTCCCTGCCTGTATTTCAACCCCGGTTCTCCACACCATTCTTGCTTGATCGTTGTTGCTCCATACCCAGTGCCACTTCTGCATTCATGTTTTTGATTTTTCTCAATTTTCCTGTGCTTTGTTGCTTCTGTCACTAACCCTGTCTCTTTGTCTGCTTTCCTCCCAGGTTCACTCACTCTTGTCCTCCGTCCAGTCGGCTGGGCTCTTCCTCTGTTCCTTTCTTCCTCGGACTTCCCTCATGGCATCCTCCCAGTCCTTCCTTGCCTCCCCGCTTCCTCGTCCCCAGTGTTCCCCGGCTCCCTGGTCCCAGTCCCGCCGGTTTCCCTGTGCCAGTCTTTCCCCGGCATCCACCTCTCCTCCACTCCAGTCCTTCAACCCCCTTTTCCCTTAATAAACCTCCTTCGCTCTGAGCGCTGCATTTGGGTCCTCTCTGTCCCCACACCACACCACCCATAACACAGCTTGAAAGTGACCACAGCAAAAATAGGTAGGTAGGTACATTTTATTGTCACAATGTAAAAGGTTATGATATTGTGCTTTGTAACTCCCTTCTGCTACATAGCAGGCGACATGCATTAATACAGAAGCAATTATAAAAATGGCAAACAGACAAACAATTCAGTGATCAATGGAGCAGTGCTGAGGATGAACTTGAGTTTAAGAGTCTGATCGCTTGGAGGAAAAAGCTGCTCTGCTGTCAGGTGGTGCGGTAGCTGAAACTTCTATCTCTTCCCAGAAGGCAGCAGGGTGAAAAGGTTGTGGCTGGGTGGGTACTGTCCTTTAGTATCCTTTGGGATCTGCGTAGGCACCTCACTGATGCTCGGGAGGTGGGTACCAAGGACCCGCTGCAGAGCCCTCCGGTCCTGGGCCTTGCACCACTGATGTAGACAGGAGTCAGTGATCAGCTCCTCAGTTTTGCTGACTTTGAGCAGTAGGTTGTTCTCTGTACACCACTCTGCAAGATTACTAATGTAGTCTCATCATTCGAAATCCGGCCAATGATGGTGGTGTCATCCGCAAACTTCACAACAGTTCTCTCCATGTCGGGAGATGCAGTTATGGGTGTACAGCGTGAACAGGAGGGGGCTGAGCACACAGCCATGGGGATTCCGGCGTTGAGCACTACAGTGGAGGAGGGGTGTCCACCAATCCGAACTGACTGGGGTCTGTTTGTGAGGAAGTCCAATATTGAGTTGCAGAGTGTTGTATTTAAACCCAGAGTGCTGAGTTTGCTGATCAGTTTCATGGGGGAGATCGTGTTGAATGCTGAGCTGATATCCACAAACAGCATTCTGATACGTTTTGTTTTTCTCAAGGTGTGTGAGGGCTGAGTAGAGGGCAGTGGAGATGGCACCCTTTGTGGATCTGTTGGTTCTGAAAGCACACTGGTGAAGGTCCAGGCTGGCTGGGATGTTGTTCTTTATGTGCTGAAGAACCAATTTCTCAAAGCACTTCATCAGATGGGGGTGAGAGCCACAGGGCGGTAGTCGTTCAGACTAGACACTGCAGACTTTTTAGGTACAGAAATGATGGTGGCTGTCCTGAAGCAGGTGGGAACTGTCTCCTGAGACAGTGAGATGTTGAAAATGTCAGTAACAGCATCAACTAGCTGATTGGCACAGGTTTTTAGTACACGGCCAGGAATGTTTTCAGGCCCAGCTGATTTACTCATATTCACTCTCGGCAGGACTCTCCTCAAATCTGCTGTGGATACTGACAGTGGTCCTCTGGAGGTGGAGGAGATCAAAGCGAACATAAAAGATGTTATGTTCATCTGGTAATGTGGCCTCACACATGATGGAGGAGCGCCTGCTATTGTAGCCTGTGATGTTTTTGATGGCCTGCTGCATATCGTTGGTGTTGAGGTATATCTCCAGTCTCTGCTGATGTCCCGGCACTTTCTTTTCCATATTGATTGATGTATTTCTGTCACAAGTGATCCTAAAATAAAATAATGGAGAACCTAATGAACATTTGGGAGTCTTTGATCGTATTGTTGTTGGTATGCTGTGTGTAAAACATGTGTAAAAAGTTTGAACATCATATTCTTTACTAAAGTTATCAAGTCAGAGAGCAGGGGCAATACAGATAAACACTAGGTCAGCAGGGAACTGTATGATGGCCATCTAGTTATTATAATGGCAGCATTGCCTTAAGGGGACCTGGCTATATAAATGCACTAGTTAATGTTAAAATGGCCCGGGGAGGGTGATGAGCAAATTCAGAGTCACATGTTGTCAATATGCCTTTAGTGTCATTGCAATGTTTCAAATGTTCACTGTGAGTGATTAAACAAGTCCTGTGCTTCATAGTAATAGATAGTCAGTGCACTCTAAAATGACCCAGAGGTGTTACTGTTTTGTTGATCTGATGCTCCATCAAGGAGAAGGCAGTTAAGGCAGAAGTAGGAAAATATTGTGGTCATGGTTAAAGGAAACATGATGGAAGGTAGGAGATGAGGTGAACCCCCATCGCTGATGCGCTGTACACTCAGGCAGGTGAATTTTCTGATCTGGCCAACACTGCCACCTACAGTGTGAGCACTGTCAAGTGACAGGTGTGAGAAAATGGAACTTGATTTACCAACCAATACAGTGTTATTGTTTTTAGAGTACAGATTTTACCTTTATATTTTAAATTTATGGAAAAGACTTCCTGACTGCACAAACTGAAGGTCAAATGAAGGAAATTCACAGCTGTGAGTACACTCAAACTGTTGAAGCCACACTTTGTGGTTCAAGCTGATATGGTGGGTTTATTTTTAGGCATCATATCATTGCTGTTAATTCTAACTTTAAAATGCCTTTTGAATAATCTGTCTGCTTTCTAAATAGCCTTGTACAAGTTTGTAACACATCATAAGGTTGTGTTAAGTTTTGGATACTGCAGAACAAGTGACGACGTCTCTGGTAATGGGAGAAAACAGCTGCCTGAGAGTTTATAGATGCTAAAGAACATTTTGTGTTACAGATGTTCATACCAGACAGCATAGATCAGACATCCCAGTGAAGCAGAGCGGTGCTGAAAAACAGCATCCACACTCATCAAAGCCCATTCCTTGACAGATAACATCATCTGACCTGTCAGGGTGTGACAATGTTGTTTCCTTTAAAAAGGCCAGCAGCAGTTCACAGAGGAAGTTGCTAACCACATGTTTCCTGGCTGTGAGGCAACACAGCTGTTTGACAGGCTTCTCAGTAGAAGCACCAAACATCAGATCACAAAACAAAAAGCTGTGGTGTGGTTTGGTTCAACGTGTGGCTTACTCCAATGCGCGTGCCTACTACTGCATTCAAAAATGTGTAGGCCTATTTCTAAAGCAAAGACACATTTTACCACATTTATGGACTTTTTTTTTTTTTTTTACAACACGCCTTTAAAAAACTTCAAACATCATGACAAGCACAATAAA